CATTTCATACATTTCTCAGTATTTTCCTCCTTTATTTTGACCCCTAAATGAGGGTGGGGGGCATAAAAAATTTAATGGGAACTCATTTTATAAAACTATTGCCTGACCTGTATATATATATAGTGAAATTTCAAACCAAATCGTCCTAATTCTTTTTGATACTTAAGTCAATTACAACCATAAACAGTGCTATAGAAAATAAAAAAATACTGAGACCTTTTTATTGACAAAGACTTCAATTTCCTTTTTGTTAAATGATTCAACAACAGTATATATATATATATATATATATATATATATATATATATATATATATATATATATATATATATATATATATATATATATATATATATATATATATATATATATATATATATATATATATATATATATATATATATATATATATATATATATATATATATATATATATATATATATATATATATATATATATATATATATATATATAGTAGATATAAAAATTATAAAAATGAAAAATGTTTGAAAACTTTGAGAAATGGCTCTTTAAAACACAAAAAATTAAAATAAGCCATAAAAACAAATTTTTTGTCTGGAGTATTGGATGTTAAAAATTATGCCATTTTTATTTTCATCTTATTATATATTTTTTAATTTTAATTCCTGTAATTTATTGATAAAAGCCTGAGTTTTCGTAACAGTGCATTTTTAACCCTTAAGGATACAAAATAAGCTATTATTTATTAATTTGGTTTATATATTTTAACTAAAATTTTATTTAAACAATTGAATATATAAAGCATTATTAGGTTAGTGAATGTAAATTAAAAATCAAACTTAATTTGTAAGCTAATTACAATGCCTCCAAAATCTCACAATGAAAACCATGCACAAGTTTGTGCAATTTGCTTTTGCACAAGTGAAAAAAAAGTAAACAGAAAAGTTACTAATACTCAAAAGGTATACTCAAAATACTGAAAACTCATTTTGTGTCATGCTATTCACTGCAAGATCCAAGGTTCCCATTTGGGCTTTGTACTGACTGCAGATTGAACTTAAACAAGATAAAAAACGAAGATTCTACAGTCAATCTAACAATAGCAAAGAACTATATATAACAAGATATTTATATATAAAACCTTTTTTTTTTAATATTTACCTCATTAATTTATTTAGAAAGTCTATGTTTGAAAAATTAATACTTTTTAAGGATTTGCGTAAAAGGGGTAATTATTTTATAGACTTTTTTTTAACTTTTATTGTTTTAATGTAATTTAGGTTTTTTTAAAATTCCATATTCATTATTTTGATCTAAATGATGAATCTCTGTATTATATATTAAATTGTAGAAAACATCCTTTCTTAGAGATGGCTTCAAAGTTCAGCCTTGATTTTGGAAAAGGACATCCGAAACTAACTCTTACACTTTATGATCCATATAATTTAACTTTCATTAAACCTTCTAGTAAAGAACTAGGAAAAGAGGTATTGGTTCAGGTAAAAATAACTTTATTTCTAAATTGCTTTAAACTTATGTGCATATTTGTATAAAGTGTTCAATAAAAATTTATTTAAGAAATCATTACATAGACACTGCAAGGAGGATCATTGCATAAGCTCCAAAAGTTTCAGAGACATAACTGTAAAATATTCATAGAGAAGACTCAAATAAATTTTCTATTGTTCAACTTCACTGGTGACCTTAAACATTGTGTCTGGAATAATGTCATGTGCATTGAAATATCCATGATTAAACTGTAAGTCTCTAAATGTTTTATATAATGAAATATTTGGAGAAAAAAGATCACCCACCAATAAAAAACAAAAATATTTAAAATCATTAAAACAATATTGTATTTGTATTTGTAGTTTTAATTATCTTTTTTTTCCTTTACATTTTAATACTAGACAAAATAAATTTTAAATTAAGTTTCACAGAGTTTATACATCGAGGCAAGTCTTGAGCAACTTTTATTGCTCTTTTAGCACTTTTATTACTGCGCTGGATGTTTGATAATTGATGGTTCTTTAGTCCAATGCATTTTCAAGTAAAAGTAAAAAGCTTTCTGGCAATTACCAACTTTCTTGATATCTTCTTCTTCAAGATCACTAAAATCATTTTCATTAAAAAATATGTTTCCTAAACCATATTTTGTGCCAGTTGCCACTAACAAAATTGCAAACTACTTCAAGTTGTTCTCTAGATTAACAATCTTTCACATTGAAGAGATGATAATGTATTAGGAAAACTAATTTTAGGAAAATATCAACTTTCATTATAAAAAAGATGCTTTGCATAGATTGTAAAGCAATTTCATATCAACTCTTTATCCTAAAATATTGCTGTTTAAAGAAGGGCCACTGTTGTCAAATGCTTTGACAAGATTTTTGTAATTTTCAAGAATGAATTTAATAAAAGAATAGTGTAAGTCAGGTGAGGTAGACTTTTCAGGACATACAGAATCAATGACCAACTTCAAAACTCTGTCCAGAACATGATGTTGACATGAAACATACTCTGGATTATCAAATCCAAGGTCACTAAATATTTTTTTTAATCTAGTTACTGTATCATTTTTTGTACCAGTCTTAACAGCAGTTGTATCGGTTATAATAATTTTTATACAGTTCCATAAATCAAAAGAGTCAATAATTTCAACCAATTCATTAAATCGTTTCTGCATTACCATCTATTAAAACAAAAACATTTCTCATTCTTTTGTACCATTTTTCAGAACCACTACTTGGTGTTCATTATAGTATTAAAATATTTTCCATCAAAATGGAGGCACCAAAATAAAAATAAATTTTATATGAAATTTAAAAGTTTTTTGATTCTCTCATAGTTGCACGCCTTTCCAATCAGTAATAATTGATTTTTTTGGTTTTCTTAAATACTTATCATAATCTGTAATTAGATTTTTTACTTTACAATAAACAGATTGCATTGATGAAGTAGGAAATGAAAATTTTTGTCACAATTCTCTCAGTTCTAAACAAATTATTTTGATTCCATTTTTTTTAAACTGTTCAAACTGTCCATACTGACTACACATTTTCTAGTAACACTGTGAAATCTATATTTTTCTAAATTCTTTGTCCAATTTTTCTTTTTTTTTTGTTAATTAAATTCTTTGATTGCTTATATGACATTCTAAAAAATAAATTGTTACTGAAATTATTCCATTGTATTAAAAAAAAACAAATATTTAAAAAATGCGTTTAAAATTTGATCATCTTTGATTTCCCTGAAAGGTAATATTACAAATATATTATGATTTATTATTATTTATTAATGTTTTCAGAAATGATTTTTAGTGTGTATTTATTATGTTTTGTCATTTAATTGATAAATATATATATATATATATATATATATATATATATATACACACACACACACACACACACACACACACACACACACACACACACACACACACACACACACACACACACACACGCACACACACACACACATATATATACAGTATATATAAGGTATATCTTTTTTAAGTATCATTACAAAAAATGTATTTGTTTAAAACAAAATTTTAATAAAATACTTTATGCTGGAAGAATACTTTTCATGAATTTCTTTTAAATGTTCTTCACGAGCTCCATTTTCTTCTTCAACCTGTTCTTTTTCATCTGCAGTCAGTGAAATGTTGTCTACAGCAATGGCCAAAAACACATTTAACAAAACAACTATGATAATTAATTAGTCAAGGAATTTTTGTTTAATATTTCATACTTTTATGAACATTTTGAACATTTCTTTTAATAAGTAAAAAGTGTATTTTTATGAGTAAAACAAATACAGGCTGTAACACATTTTTTTGGTTAATTTTTAATTGAAACATCATTGAATTTAGTTATTTTATACTTATTTAAAAAAATTTTTTTTACTTAATTAAATATACTTATATTAAGTTAATACATATGCAATTTAAAGATACAATTTCCAAGTGATGTACACAATATGTAATACAATGAAACAGCAAGTCCAACAGCATTTAATGCTCCTCCCATGGCATTAATCCCTTCATACATTGTGTTATTCCAATCTTCCCCAGTAACAATCTGAAGAAAATAAAATTCCATTCATAAAAAAAATTAATGTTAATATTATTGTTTGTTGTTATTGTCTATATATTGTATTGAACAAGTTATTGTTATTTTTATATTTCTTATGGAAAATGTGGCAAGTTTATGTTGTGATACATGGAGTGGTCAGTGTATGTCTTGATTGGTTGAAGAAGGTTGGTTGTAGTTTTAGTTTATATTTTTATCTTTAAAATTATCAAGTAAATATAAAATTCTAAATTTTTACTTGAAAAACTGTTAACACTGCATTGAAAAAATCGTCAAAGTTTGATCGAGGGTTAGTCCCATATAATCTATAATTATAAAAGAAGCTGTTATAACAATCTATGATGAAGTTTTGAAAGTATTAAAGACACTAAATACTAGAAATAATTTTTTTAAACAAAAGATAAATATTAAAAAAATTTTTTTACAAATTCTTCCTTTTGATTATTATGATAAAAAAAAACTTTAAAGTAACCACTTACTGACCACCAAAAAGTTGCATTCCAAGTAATCCAAAGATCATAAGAAAAAGAAGCAGTAAGACCACTAAACTCATAATTGATGTCATACTAGCTAAGATTGAGGCAATTAAGATCTTTAATGAGCTCCAATGTCTAAAAAAGAACCAGTATGAAAAAACAAGTGGGTATCCACAAATTTTTAACTTATTTAAAATAAATGCTTCAACTGCTGTTTAAAGTTTGCCATTAATAAATATTGAATCTTAATTGTTCCTTCTTAACTTTAGATCTGCTAGTTACTTGTCAAGATATTTACCTGTAAAGATAACTTCAAATTTATTAAATAACATTTAAACATTTTTGCTTTTAAAATCAAAAATGAGCTATTCAAATTTTTTCTTTTCTTTTTTAATTTTACTATCTTAATTGGTATTTACATCTGTTAAATATTAAACAATTAAAAAGTAAATAATTAATTTAAAAAATGACATTCTCAATTAAAAGCTTTAATCATGAATAGTAAAATAAAATTAAGAAACAAAATTAAAATTAAAAAAAGATAATTAAAAAATTTAAAAAATAAAAACAGAAACACTTACGATGTGAATTTGAATAACCTCATAAGTCGAAGTTGACGTAATACAGATACGCCCAGATTAATATTCAAAAACCTGCTCAAAAGCCAATTTATTATGCTGGCAAACACAACCTATGATTATAAGTACAAATTTATTATGCTGGCAAACACAACCTATGATTATAAGTACAAATTTATTATGCTGGCAAACACAACCTATGATTATAAGTACAAATTTATTATGCTGGCAAACACAATCTATGATTATAAGTACAAATTTATTATGCTGGCAAACACAACCTATGATTATAAGTACAAATTGATTATGCTGGCAAACACAACCTATGATTATAAGTACAAATTGATTATGCTGGCAAACACAACCTATGATTATAAGTACAAATTGATTATGCTGGCAAACACAACCTATGATTATAAGTACAAATTTATTATGCTGGCAAACACAACCTATGATTATAAGTACAAATTGATTATGCTGGCAAACACAACCTTTGATTATAAGTACAAATTTATTATGCTGGCAAACACAACCTATGATTATAAGTACAAATTTATTATGCTGGCAAACACAACCTATGATTATTAGTACAAATTTATTATGCTGGCAAACACAACTTATGATTATAAGTACAAATTTATTATGCTGGCAAACACAACCTATGATTATAAGTACAAATTTATTATGCTGGCAAACACAACCTATGATTATTAGTACAAATTTATTATGCTGGCAAACACAACCTATGATTATAAGTACAAATGGCAAAAAAAATCTATTATTAGAAAAAACCAACATAAAAGTTCTAAAAACATAATACCTCTATAAATAAAAAAAATAGAAAGCTTATTATTATTCATAGAGTCCGCTCTCTGAGTTTTTTTTATTTATAGAGGTTCGATCTTGTGGCAGGAATGTAGGAAGAAGTTGTCAAAAAATACATGACAAACCATAATTTTTTCACAAAATGTTTGTGATGGCTTTTGAAACAAAGAGTGTTTCTGCTCATTGTATTTTATTAGAGCAGAACTTTAGAAAGTTTGTAGCAAAGGCACATCACTTATAAAGCCCTTATTAAAAAAAGTGTCATGTATTTTTTTTTTTTTTTAAATACATAGCATACTTTGTTTAAATAAATAGACAACATTAAAAGTGAAATAATCATTTGATGTGCAAATGATGTACAACATATAAATATGAAAAACAAGATTTTAAATACCAATGAGAAAGTAGATTATAAAATCATTATATTAAAGTCATTATATTAAATCAGAGTTTATTTATGTATTTCTATAAAAAAATACTTATAAAGTTTAAAAGCTATTGCTGTTACAGTAATGATACATAAGGTTCAGCAAATATACAGCTACATTACAGTTACATTACAGTTACATTAACTAATGTCATTAAAATCATATTAAAAGGCTTTTACTATAATTTTCCTGCAAGCACCACCATGAGCTCTATATTAAAGTTAAAAATTATGTTCTTATTTTAGAATTTAATATTGAAAAATTTTATTCTTGTTTTATTTATATGACTCATACTCATTATGAAGCCGCGCTTACAGTTTGTGAGAAAATGTTCAAAATGTTTTAAGTTTACTGCATGATAATGGAACTGCTAACATTTCATAAGCAACAAAATTTATTTGATATAATTCATAAAGAAGAGAGAGCAACAATTTATGAAGTTATTGATTTTATTGGACTATTTCATGCAAGTTGATTCCTAAAACATCATTGACAACTAACATTGACAACTTATCCTGGTGTAAGTTTGTGTGCAGTTAAATATAAATGTTTTAACAAAACTGCCTCTACTGTTGTAACTAAATTTTTTTTAAATCATTAATGGATTTTTAAAAAACAAAATACTTTTTCTATGCAACAAAACATTAGACATAGCACAAGCCAAAAAACTATGATAATTTTTTTATATCCAAGAATTTCATGTTTAAAATTCAGACCACAAACAATCCCAAAGTTAGGTTCTCATTCATTATTTATTCCTTGATTTAGTAAGTCATATATTTTGCTCTTTATAAAAAATGTCACCAACTGTCCTGAGGTCCCAAATAAGGTACTAAAAAATGTACAAAGTACTAAGAAAATAATTAGGGCTTTATAAGTGATGAATACTGTTGCTACAACTTTTCTAAAACTCTGCTGTAACAAAATAAAATGAGCAAAACTACTCTTTGTTTCAAAAGCCATCACAAACATTTTCAAAACTTTACAGCACAAACAATTTTTAGGAATTCTGGAAACAGTGGCAAAAAATAAATGTGTTAATGCAGGCCTTGCGATGAATAAGAACTGCGCAACGCATAAGCACAACATGATTTTTGACGTCATTAAATTCTTTTTATTTGCTTTTCATATTTATTGACATTAACTGCACCAATTTACTTAATTACCGCAAAACTACTATAAATCGTTTAAGTAGAAATGTTATTATTTAAAAATGTTTTGGAATGTTTCGTTTTTTTAAATGTAAAAACATTTGTTTGACGTTTGTCTTGTTTTGTCTATACTAAATGAATAAAAAACATTATAACTTAAATTTAAAAAAGATTATAAAATATGCTTATATTTGATTTTTTTTTTCTTAAATATGTAATTTAAAGTTTTTCAAATAATTATTTTTTCTTTTTAAAAAGTCAGCGAGTAATAAACTGGAAATTTTAATATTGTACGATTAAAAACTGTGCAATAGCTAATATTTTTACAAGCGATTTTATATAATATTTATTTATTTTTATTTATTTTCATAAAGCGGTTGATAAGCACAATTACTCGTATTAATAAAAAACTTAAACGAACATTTTGAATAGATTTTTAATGTTAACAAGGAATTTTATTTCTAGTAAAATAAAATAAAATGTTGGAATAAAAATCTTATAGGTATAAAAGAAATATTTCAGCGAAAAAATTATTCTTAAAAATTATTATTAAAAATTATTCGAAAAACTATTGACGTTTTATTTTTCAGCAGCTGTTCTTGAGCACACTTCGTTGAGTTTCGGTAACTTTTAACATAAAAGCAATCGTTATTATTTAAGTAATTTTTTTGAGTTACTTTTTGCAAAAATTTTAATAACTGTACTTTTTTATTGAATCAAGTAGAATACGTTTTAATATTAATCCTTTTTTTTTTTTTTATTTGCGCTCACCAATTTTTAAAATGTTTCCTCGAAATTACTCTTAAATACTTTAAATATGTCTAACAGTTAATAAATATTTTTAAATCTATGGAATAATTTTAAAACCTAACAAACCCCCGTAAAATAATTATTGAAGTTAAAAATCTAAAACTAAAAGAAAGTATTTTTGTTCAATTTTATCGACAACTTTGCTATTGCTGAATAATTTTATTAAAATGTTAGCTTAAAAGATTTAAACTTTTTTTTTAATCTGAATTTTTTCTACTTGTAAATAATGAGCATATTTAATTTTTTTTAATTCAAACTTTTGTTTCAACTGCGTGCGGTTTTTAAAATACTTTATTAAATGTTAAAATAATCGTAAATTACTTCATTAAAATTCCGCTCAAAAATTTCTTTAAATCTACTCAAACAAAAAAATTTTTGCTCGACGAAAATAGTCCTAGCTACACACAAAATCGCTCTTGGACGACGTAAAATTCACATCGCCCAATGCTTTATCGCAAGGCCTGTTAATGTAAGACTTAACGACTGAACAAAAAAAAAACAACTTATATATTCTTATTTTTATCAAAATATATATGCTTATGTTTTTTATTTATCAATGTTAACAAAATAGTCTAAAACTAGTTTTTACCTTTTTGGAAGGGTTCAAAACATTGTGGGATTACTTTAAAACTTTATGCTTATAACTATTTTAAAAACAACGGAAAAAGAAAAAAGCTCTCTAACTTTAAAATGGTAATTCTTTTAGATCATCGTTTAACTCTAAAACACAAACCTTTCTTTGCTGCACAAAAAAATAAATTAAAACTGGTTCTACCAGAAAAGTTGTGTGATTCTGTTAATTTATTACATCTTTATTTTTTATTTTATATTAAGATTTTAATACTTATATTTATAATATAACTCAAAATAAAAAGAGATCATAAAGTCATATTATATATCTCACATCAGCAAACTTAAAGTCATATCTCAGCATACATCCTAACATAAATTACATACAATTTCATATAAAATACCATTATATCGCAAAAATATTCTTACCACACAATCAAAAAAATTAAATTTTGATTGGAAATATTCTATGGGTCCCAAAGCATAAAACTTCAAGCACATTTCCAAAAAGAAAAATGCCAAAAAAAAATTGTCTGTAATGCCTAAAAATTAAACTTTGACATCAAGTATTGAGTTTTAACAAAACAGTGGTTTATTTAAGTAATTTAAAAATGATAACTTAAATTTTCAAAATCAACACTTACTTATAACATCACTAATCCATTGACTCTGTTGATAATATTGCATCATACCAGATACACTATTCAAAAAAACTAGTCCAATGACAAGCCAGTACATAAAATTAGATAACATGAATGCTTTTAACTTGGCTCTGACAACAGCATTTCGTAGAAGAAATTGTTGCAGACCAGTAAGGCTATCAAAATATCCATCAAATTATCAATTATGTATGTATGTATGTATGTATGTATTTATGTATGTATGTATGTATGTATGTATGTATGTATGTATATATATATATATATATGTATATATATATATACATATATGTATATATATATATATATATATATATATATATATATATATATATATATATATATATATATATATATATATATATATATATATATATATATATATATATATATATATATATATATATATATATATATATATATATATATACAGGAGCTATTCTAGGAAAATAATTTAGGTGGTGGTACCCCCATACCAGTGCCTTTCTATAATGAAATTTGCCATAAGTAACCATTTTTGTGTGAAAAAAACGATATTTGCTGTAAGAAAAAAAAAGGGTCTCAAATTTTAATTTCAGAAGCGCCCAAATCAACCCCCAAATAAGGGTGATGCTGTCAAAAACAGTCTAGAATAGCCCATGATGTATTTACATATGTATGTACATTTAAAGCATGCAATCATTAAATTTTGAACAATGAATTTTGTTTTAAAACTTGTCACTAACACATTTTAAATTTATTTTTTTTGCATAACTACATTAAGTATATATAATACGGTAGTGGTGTAGTGGTAAAACACTCGCTTCATAAGCGAGAAGTTCCGAGTTTGATCCCCACAACGTCCCTGGTAGTACCGCGCTCAACTTGTTTCTCCGCGCAGCGGCCTTGTTCGTCAAGGTTCGTGTTTCGAGGTTATAGAGTTGAGAGAGGGTTATAACCACTATTAAGTAGCCTCCTCGTCTGAAGTGCCATTCTCAGCCTTGAGGAGGTGAATAACAAAAAAAAAAAAAAAAAGTAATGATAGTATTAATTAAAAACATTAACAAAAAAGTCAAAGTATTTCCCTAAATTAAAATGTCATTGAAACAGTTAGAAAGAAAAAAAAACTCTGCACAACTATCTACAAAATCCTTCTTCTTCAAATTACTTTCAATCGTTAAAGCATCTGGATCTAGAAAAACTACTGTTTATATGGAAAAGCACTTTATCTATTGAACAAGCAAAAGGATCTGGAAGAAAGAGTGGCTTCAAGGATAAGAAAGTAGCAATTAGTATTCGACAATCATTCGCGCAAAACCCTGGCTTATCGAACAAAGAATGAGCCAAAGGTATAAAGTTTAAGAGTTTTTTTGTCAGGAAAGTTAAGAAATTTAACAATTTTAATCTAGCCATTAAATATATACGCCAATCAGATAAGCAATCACTGACAGCTAAAACTTGAGCTTGAAAACTTAATGACAAAGTGTTTACAAAATTTATTGGCTGCATAATAATGGATGAAAAAATGTACATCAAATGTGACTTCAAACAGCTTCCAGGTCCAAAAATCTACACATCAATTGTTTGTGGATGTGTCAGCAACAAGTTCAAGTATAATTCATTGGATAAATTTGGTTAGAAACTTCTCTTGTGGCAAACAATATGCAGCTGCGGTTTGAGATCTTGAGCTTTCGACAGATCATCAACTTAAAACTTGGATATTTACATCAAGGAACGCTTGCAAGCTAGACTTTTGCCGTTTTATTGAAGTCCCAATGTCCCCTGTTGGTTCTGACCTGATTTTGCTTCTATTCATTATTCTAAGAAGTCAGTAGAGTGCTATAATTCGAGAGACATCAAATTCATACCAAAAAGCTTGAATCCATTAAGCTGCCCACAGTTCCATCTAATTAAGAAACTCTAGTGTAATGGTAAAGGATATTTGCTTAAAAGTGGCAAAACAATCAGTACAGGTTTTCATCATTCAGAACTTAATGATCATATACAAATATTTTTTATTGTGTTTTTGTGATATTGGGAATATTTATTGTAATTGTTTTATAAAATATTTGGAATTTATATTTAAATTATATTATCCTGTTACTTCCAAAAGAAAAAAAAAAAGATTATTGAATTTTGGGAATTTTAAACTGATTGGGAATTCCGCAGTATATGCGGTGTCATTGGGCTAGCTAACAACCTGTATAATTTCAATGATCTTTTATACTAAATACCAATTAGTTAATAATGCTTATAAAAAATGGGTAATGCTTGTAAAAAATTAAAAAAATAATTGTAAATTGTAAATTTGATTAAAAAACATTTTTAAAAACTTACGGTGGAACAATAACTTCTCCCTGATCTTCTATTTGTTCTTGTATTTTCACTATTAAAAAATAAAAAAAATTAGTTGCATTAATTTTTAAAAACAACTTATTTAACAATTCAAATAAGTAAAAAAATGATATCAGTATTAACATAACTGGTGAACCTCAAAAATTAGTTACAAATGTTGAAATAATAAATGCTTGCAAAAGCTATATATACTTGACTATCTTTTAAAAAAATTACCCATGTTACCATGTTATTAAAAAAATTACCCATGTTACCCATATTATTAAATTTGCGGTGGTTTTCAATAACTTAAATAATAAGCACAATAAGTTATGGTTTTCAATAACTTAAGAAAAAAAATCACTTAAAAAAACACTGGCTTCCTTACTTCAACTAAACTTAATTATTTTTATAATCTAGATTTCCAGTTATTAACCTAACTTGTCAAACAATGTTAAAACTTAAACCTAACTTTAAAACACTTTTTTTTTAAAATACTTATCAAAAACTTAGTTTAAAAATGCCTGAGTAAGACCTCAAATATTGTATGCAGAAATAGTATCTGAGTACCCTCTAAAGCCCCAGCCAAATTTTATCTTCATAACCTAACCCTGATTAAGTAGCTATAATGGAAGTGGTTACTAGCCAGAATAAAAATATTTTTTCGGTTTTAACAGTTTTCAACTACTTCAAAATTAAATAGGAAGTTAAAATAAAATGAAACAAAAATAAATAGAAAATTAGATACAGAAAATATTAATTATAAATAATTTGTGTAAACTAATAAATTAAACACTTTTTTTTTCATCACCAATGTTTTTAAAATGTCACTTTTTTGAGAACCATCCGAACAAAATTCTAAGAACCTTCTGAGAACGCTTCTTCTAAAACACTTCTACAATTACACAACTCACTGAAACAAGCTTTTTACACAAACCATCTGAAATACACATCATACTGTAACAACATATTACACAAACCATCTGATGATGATGATGGTGATGATGATGATGATGATGATGATGATGATGATGATGATGATGATGATGATGATGATGATGATGATGATGATGATGATGATGATGATGATGATGATGATGATGATGATGATGATGATGATGATGATGATGATGATGATGATGAATATTTTAATTATAAATCTTTTACCCCTCTTCAACAATCATAAGAAAATGTGATGCAATACATTTAATCAACCCCAGCTAAAACCAAGCAAAAGATAATTGTTTTTTTGTTTAGTTTTAGCTGGTTTTTCAATGCTAAATTTACAAAATTAAATTAAAAAAAAAAAACTCTTATAAAAGCAAACAAAACAAGTTTTTTATAAAGAAAAATTATTTTTAGATTAATTAAAATTCTTAAAGCAAAGAGGACCACAAATCGCTTATACAAAATTTTATGAAATGCATTTTTATTTTCATTTTAAACTCATGCAAAACTAGCTAATTTATGCTAATTAAAGTACATTCATCTGTTTCCCTGAAATACTAGCAACACTATCTACTTTTATAACTGTTTTTTAAAAAAACTGATATATAAAACATTATTACAGATTTCAATAACACTATGTAACACAACTTTTTTACTTTAATTCAATGTGTTGTATTTCAATTACTTATATTTAAAAACTGTGTGAAAAACAACAAGATTGAGCATAAACTTGAATTTTATGACTACAGTACAAAGAAAATTTGTTTTTATTGAAACAAAACAAAAATTTTATATCATTGGTTTATTTAGTCTGATAAGAAACAATATTTGCATTATGAGCAAGCAATATCATCAGAAATAAGTATATTTTCTAGATTTGCAAGTGTACTGTAAACTACTTTCACAAAATAGTCCTCAAATGTACTCCTCCATCATACTTACACTATATTATCATTGATACCATTATTTAAAATCTGATGTATCTTAAAAAAAGCATTTGCTGTGCTTCTCTAAGTAAACTAAATGTTCTTTTCAAATTTAGCAACACGAATGTCAAGAAAATGGACAGTAAGTGACGTTCTGCATCCCATTTTTAGGATTTTTGTTTATAAGAATCTGAACCAATTTCATAACTGCAAAAAAGCTGTTCCAAGTCTATCTTTCTGCTCTTTTCAAGAGCTTGGCAAACTTGTAATATTCTATAGCCTTCTTGATCAGTGGTCCAAAAATGATACCAGCTCTAACCATAGCTTTAGACAAATTCAAAAATAGATCTTGAAAGCACTTAAAAGATGCTAACTGCTTGTCAAGAGCAGTGTCAAACTATTTGATGAGATATAGCTTGATGTGCGTAATGGCATAAGCTCTTCCTAAGGTTCTATCAGCAGCTCCCACTTTGCATTGCTTACTAATAAGCTAGTCCATTGTAGTCAATATTTTCTGTGATAGTGCACATTAGTATCACAGCTGTCATAAAGGCAAAAACATATTTAATATTCATTAAAATATATAGAAAAAAGTTTTAAGTGAAAAAGGAGACAAGTGTTGACAAATACAGTTCAAGAGTGCAGTAAACTTAAAAGCATTATCTCTAAAGCTACAACATGTCTAAATTTTCGGCTTTATTTAGCTTTTTTTTAACTTTATTCAGCTTTAATTGGCTTTTTTCAAAATCCCTTGAAACTGTTTTAAATTTATTTTAGCTATATTGACATGACATTCATTTTAATACTTATATTAACATGACTCTATAATTAAAAACAACATAAAACTTAATACAAAAGAAAACATTTAGCATCGGCTGTAAATTTTTTACGTAATGGAATTTTTTCTTAGTAAATCATTACTATTAGACTATATTGTAATTTCCAAATAAGTTGTTTGATAAAAAAAAAAATATTTATTTAAAAAAAGAGTTCTTCATATTAACTTACAACTTTCTTCTAGCTCTTTAGCTGCAGCAAGTTCGCCTTCATCAACCCATCCTTCATACTTCTCTGCTGCTCTCTCAGCAGCTAATTCAGCTCGCTGTCTTAAAAACTCATCACGATTTGCTACACGTTCATTTTCTTTGCTAAACTCTCTATAAGCAAAAAATGTTAACTTTTGTATAAAAAATATATATCAAAATTATTAACATTATCGTTAATAATATATATATATATATAGGGTCAACGCTAGTAGGTTTCACTTGAGGGGGTGCCATTACAACTTTTGCCGACTTGAAAAAAAAAAATTTCCTCGTTTTTTAAAATTTACCGACTGCCATAACGACATTTGCCGACTGATTTTACCGACTAACCTATCGACAGAGTCTACATTTACCGACTAACTAGTCAAAAAAGGTCACATTTGCTGACTAAGGGTCAAATTTGCCGACTAAAAATCATTGATGAAGGGTTGTCACACCCCCCACAACCCCTTATCACGTTTGCCTTGTATATACATATATATATATATATATATATATATATATATATATATATATATATATATATATATATATATATATATATATATATATATATATATATATATATATATATATATATATATATATATATATATATACATATATATATATATCAGGCTTTCACAGGAAGACATGCGATTTCATTTCTTTATATGACAACGCAAAAAAAAAATGTTTTAACGATTTGACCATATTTTTAAAATTTAAAAAAATAATAAATATTAACAAAAGAGTAAATTAAAAAAAATACTTAGTTAAAGCAAAAACACAAAAAAATAAATATATATAAATAACGCAACTAAAACAAAACTCATTAAACTAAAATACTTAGTCTAATTAATTTACGAATTAAAAAACCTTTTCAACCTTTGTTTCAAAATTTTTATATATTTTTTATTTATTTAATATGTTTAAAAGTTAAATATTTCTCATAAAAAATACATAGTTATATAAATAAAATAAAAAAACATTTTATAAATACTTTTTTTTTAATTAATTAGAAGTTTTTTTTTTTTTTTGTACCTCATTAAAAGCGTTTCGATAATATAAAAGCATTTAAGATCAAACTTATTAAATTGTAACGGTTTTCTAAAACTTTTTTTTTTTAACAAAATTTTGTTTATCTTTTTAAATGCATTAACTTTAATCATTCTTATATTTAAATTCGTTAAAGAGATTTTCGTAGTCGTAGAATGTCATCGTTTATAAAAACAAAACAACTTTTTATTTTTTAATAAGATTTATTTTAGAAATAAACACTTAAACAATTTTCATGTTTTAAATTAAAAAAATATATACAACTGTCTATTTTATATACAACTGTATAAATATATATATGTCTATTTTATATAAATATATATAACTGTCTACTTTATATACAACTGTATAAATATATACAACTGTCTAACTAAACTGTATTTAAAAAATAAAACTTTTTTTCAGTAAATTGTTACTTTATTTAAAATCGTTTCTCTAATATAAAAATATTTGTTAAGAAGTTTTAATGTTACTAAGTTCACTTTTTTAGAATGTTTTTTATTTAGCGCGTTTCTAAAATGTTTTTTGAATTAGCCGCGGTCAAACCATCATAGCAAAATGTAACTTGCGTGGTCATATAAAGACGTGAAATTGCACGTCATCCTGTGAAAGCCTGATATATATATATATATATATATATATATATATATATATATATATATATATATATATATATATATATATATATATATATATATAGATAGATAGATAGATAGATATATATATATATATATATATATATATATATATATATATATATATATATATATATATATATATATATATATATATATATATATATACATATATATATATATATATATATATATATAGATAGATAGATAGATAGATAGATAGATAGATAGATAGATAGATAGATAGATAGATATAGATATATATAAATAACTCATAAAACACCTACCCACTCAGTACACCACAAACCAGGTTTAACATAAATTGAGCTCCAATTACGTTAAGTGAATAAAAATATACCCATGTAAAGCGTGCCTTATAATCAAACACTTTAAATACCTATTTATATAAATACATATATAAATATATATGTATATATATATATATATATATATATATATATACGTATATAAATATATATATTTACGTATATAAATATATATGAATATAAATATATATATATATATACATACATATATATATATATATATATATATATATATATATATATATATATATATATATATATATATATATATATATATATATATATATGTAAATTTACAGTGGAGTAGGAAGGTTTTTAATAATATATATATATATATATATATATATATATACACATATATAGTTATATATATATATATATATATATATATATATATATATATATATATATATATATATATATATATATATATATATATATATATATATATATGTATATATATATATATACGTATATATATATATATATATATATATATATATATATATATATATATATAATTATATACGTATATATATATATATATATATATATATATATATATATATATATATATATATATATATATATATATATATATATATATATATATATATATATTATTAAAAACCTTCCTACTCCACTGTAAATTTATATATATATATATATATATATATATATATATATATATATAAATATATATATATATATATATATATATATATATATATATATATATATATATATATATATATATATATATATATATATATGTATATATATATATATATATATATATATATATATATATATATATATATATATATATATATGTAGTCATGCTATTTTGTGCATATACTATCAAGAAAGTGCTCGAAAAAAGTCAGAGCTATTATATATATATATATATAGTAGAAAATAAAACTATGTGATTTTCACAACTTTAAGTTTCATGCTGTTGCAATCATCAGGTGAAATACAAATATAGTTTGTTCGTTTAAAAAATTATATACAATTGAAACTATACAGAAAAAACCTATACAGAAAAAACTTTTTTTTTTATTGTTACGACCGCGTGTATTTAATCTTCAGGTTTGTGGTTGCTCAATAGAAATTTATTTTCGTGACGTCACTTGGAGATTAACTTTGTTTTTTTATTGAGTAGCACTTCAGCATTTTTATAAAGCAAAATAATCAGTTTTTCATATAAACATAGTAAACATTTTTTTGCTTCATTGTTGTAGGCGGGGACTTTTTTCAGGATAGACCAAGTTAATTCTGGTGTTTCTTTGAGTTTTTCTCTAGTTTTCCATATATGTTTTGAGAGAGTGGTTGCATTTGAAAGTTTCTTATTTGAAAATGATTGCTTGTGGTTTGCATACCTCTTTTTCCACACTCCTTCTGATAAACCAATGTATGCTTTGCTTAGAGTGTTTGGTGAAGATGTTATACATTTGTAAATGATGTTTGTCGCTCTACAATTTTTATTCAGCGGGCAGATTTCTTTTTGCTTTTGGAGATTTTCAGGGATTTTAAGGGAGATTTTCAGTGGTGTTAATTAAATTTATTTTTTTGTTGTGGCTTTTTATAATTTTTGAAATGTTGTTTGAGCAGCTGTAGCTAACTTTTGTAGTGTTTTGATGGAATAGTTTATGTAATGGATTTAAAGGTGGGAAATGTTTATCTATTAATTGCAAAAAGAATTTTTTAAAAACTTTAACTTAAAGTACAACCCAAAAAATAAGACACCTCCCAAAAGAAAAAGAAATATAATTTGGTTTAACCCACCCTACAATAAAAGCGTCTCCACCAAATTAATATAATTTTAATATAAAAGACAGAGAGTGATTTAATAAAAAAGATAATCGAAGAAAGAAATACAACTCGTAAAATTGCTTCTAAATTAAAAGTTAGTCAAAGTACTGTGCAACGAATTAGAAAAAAATGTGGACATATTCTAAAAAAAAATGTTGGCAATTTAAAAAAGTGCTCGTTAATAACTATTCTGACCATCCATCATCCATTAATGTGTTATATGAACGAGTTCAAGAACAGTGGAAAATATTTCATTAAACCTTTGCGAAAATCAAGTAAAGAGCATAAATATATATATATATATATATATATATATATATATATATATATATATATATATATATATATATATATATATATATACAGTATGGTGCAAAACTGAACCAGAGTTTTTAAAAAAATACAAAATTATGGTTTATTTTGTTTTCGATATATTAGCGCTGTCTGGATTATTACAGTAGTAAAGTGCTAATTTTTATGACTTTTTACGCCTCTTCCTTTTACCCCAATTCACAAGTATTTTTTCTAGTGACAAACATCTTTTGACTCAGTTTTGCACCATACTTGATGAAGGCAATATCTTTATTATTTTTCTCAAATTAATTTTATAATTTTGAGTGCAAATAAATTGACTATATTTATATCTAAAATAATTTTCTGTTTTCATAAATTTTATTGTTTAAATTTATTGCTTTTGATAGTTTTTTAATAAAATGAGAATTTCAAAGACAGAGAGCAATTTAATAAAAAAGATGATCGAAGAAGGAAATACAACTCATAAAATTGCTTCTAAATTAAAAGTTAGTCAAAGTACTGTGCAACGAATTAGAAAAAAATGTGGACATATACTGAAAAAAAATGTTGGCGGTCGACCAAAGAAGTTGAGTGCGGTAGACAGTAGAAGAGTAATCAGATATTTGACTACTGGAGAAGCAAAATCGACATCTCATGCAGCTAAACTTTTGCAATGTGATACAGGAAAAAATGTGAGCAGGTGGACAGTGCAGCGAGATCTCATAAAAAGTAAATTTCAAGCAATTGAAAAGAAGAAAAAACCATTACTTAGTAAAAAAAATATCAAAGCAAGATTAAACTTTGTAAAAAAATATGAAAACTTTACCGAAGATGATTGGAAGAAAGTTATTTGGTCAGATGAAACTAAAATTAATCGGTATAGCACAGATGGCCGCCAATGGAGCTGGAAAAGAGAATGTGAACCATTAACCCAAAAAAATTTTATTCAGACAGTAAAACATGGGGGAGGCAATATTAAACTATGGGGGTGTATGACGGCCTATGGATTGGGACCTATTCGAAGAATAGTTGGAAACATGAATAAGGAAATGTATCTTGATATTTTACAGCATGAATTATTGGAAACTGTTAAAAATATGCCTTACCCAATAAATGAGGTCATCTTTTAACAGGACAATGACCCAAAGCACACTGCTAAAATGGTTAAGAATTGGTTAGCTTCGCAGGACTTTCAAGTGCTAGAATGGCCAGCACAAAGTCCTGATTTGAACCCAATAGAAAATTTGTGGTCACAATTAAAAAAAGCGCTCGTTAATAACTATTCTGACCCTCCAACATCCATTAATGTGTTATATGAACGAGTTCAAGAACAGTGGAAAAATATTTCGTTAAACCTTTGCGAAAATCTTGTAAAGAGCATAAATAGAAGATTAGCAGCAGTTAAAAAAGCTAAAGGATTATGGACAAAATATTAAAAATTGACAAAATTGACAACAATTGACAGTTTTTTTATCGTGGTGCAAAAGTGATTCACCATGTTTTTCATTTATTATTTTGTAAGTGAATATTTTTCTTCAATAAATACTTAATAAAAATTGTTTTTTTAATAATAGTTCCTACCAGCAATATTAATTCTCAAAATGCCTAATTCTTTATAAGAAAATAAAAATATTATGCATTCTGGTTCAGTTTTGCACCATACTGTATATATATATATATATATATATATATATATATATATATATATATATATATATATATATATATATATATATATATATATATATATATATATATATATATATATTCATATGTATGAAGATAAGATTTTTTTAAAAAAAATTCCTGTGATAGGAGAATGGGAACAACAAACCCTAAATTCTTAACCTGCACCTTTGCACCAAAGGTAAGAGCAACAAGTTGATGAAATATTTTTTGTACTATTTTCAACTAGACTTATATTCATTAAGAAATTTTAAATTTCATAGTAAAATATTTTAGTGTTCAAAAATTATGACCATATAAAGCTTAAACCCCATTCAATTTGAGGGGGTTGAAAACTTTATATGGTCATAGTTTTTGAACACTAAAATATTTTATTACGAAATTTAAAATTTCTTGATGAATATAAGTCTAGTTTAAAATAGTACAAAAAATATTTCATCAACTTGTTGCTCTCACCTTTGGGGCAAGGGGGCTAAGATTTTAGGGTTTCTTGTTCCCATTCTCCTATTACAGCAATTTTTTTTTAAAAGAATTATTTTGTCATACATATGAACGTAAAACAATTTGGAATATTCTTGTTGTTTATAAGTTGGTTATTTCAAACATTTAAAAACCTTCCTATGTCACTGTCTTCCTATGTCACTGTATATATATATATATATATATATATATATATATATATATATATATATATATATATATATATATATATATATATATATATATATATATATATATATATATATATACATATATAAAAAATATATATATATAATATATTATTTATATATTTTTTTGGAGGCATTTTCCTTTTGAAAGGCATTGTGAAATTTGTTGGCAGTTGCATTGTTGGTTGGATGAGGTGTTGGTACCAGATAAAATTTTTTTATTGAAAACAGCGATAATATTTTTGATACTAGGAAAACAGCTGTAGCTTAATTTTATGTTGTTTTGTTGAAAATTTTGTAAAACTTAAGAGATTATGGAAAGTGTCTTTTAAATAGATTTAAGAAAATCTTTCAACATTTGTTCTTGCATTAAGCACAAAAGGAGGGTTAAACAATACAATGTTAAGTGATCTTGATTTTGATTTGTTGCAGTATGGTTTGGCTTATAGAAGATTATTTTTTTGATAATCATTAGATGCCAAGTCTAATGATTATCAAAAAAATATACCTATAGCTAGCTACAAACCTAATTAACTAATAACATTCACTAATACTTTTTGAAACTATCCCGAAAGAAAAAAATATGGATGACAAAAGAACTTTTAATCCTGATTCGTCCTAATTCACTTGGTGTAGACAATGTCAGTCCTCACGTTTTACGCTTTTATTCTACCTCAATGTCTACTCCACTTACTCTCATCTTTCAAAAGTCATTTGACAATGATGAAATTCCAAACTCATGGTCCAAAGCAAATGTAACACCTTTATTTAAGAAGGGCTCCAGAATCGACCTATCAAGCTACGGACCAATATCTCTCACCTCGATTCCATGTAAAATAATAGAGAAACTAGTTACGAAGGCAATCATGCAGCATCTAAAATCAAACACTCTTCTATCAAATAGTCAACATGGCTTTTTAGAGAAAAAAGCATGCATTACAAATCTCCTTGAAACAATGGATTTCTTAACTGGAAATTTGGCCAGAAAACTACCAGTTGACGCCATATTCTTGGATTTTGCCAAAGCATTTGACAAAGTGCCACATCAATGAATGCGTTACAAACTAAAAATGTACGGAATCGAAGGTAATTTTCTCAATTGCATAAAAGCTTTTCTATTTAACAGGCCTTGACGAGTCATCATTGGTGACACTCATTCAAATTGGTTACCTGTGACAAGTGGAGTTCCGCAAGGATCAGTCTTGGATCCAATTTTATATGTCATTTTCATCAATGATCTGCCAGATGTAATAAGCAAAGAAAACATTTGTAAGATCTACGCTGATGACACTAAAATTCTGAGCATTGTTAACTCACTTGCTGCTCAATTTTAACTCCAATCAGATATTGACCAAATTTTTCATTGGACTAAGTCTTGGCTCATGGAGCTAAATGCAAAGAAATGCAAAGTCATGCACTTTGGCCAAAAAAATTAACTCCTTTCAAGTACTCAATGGAAGAAATATGCCCTTGTTCAATAACGACTTGAACTACATTGGAAACAACCACCTCTGAGCATGACTTGGGAATTCAAATTACCAATGACCTTAAAGTAGAAACCCAATCCATCATTGCCTCATGTAAAGCAAATAAAATGCTAGGCATCCTAAAACACACTTTCCAGTTTCGTGATGCTTCTTTATGGAAACAACTTTACTCCACCTACGTCCGTCCTTTACTTGAGTTTGCAATTCCAGCTTGGAACCCTCATTTGGTTAAGGATTAACATATTGAGCTAATACAGCGCAGAGCCACAAAAATACCAGATAAACTAAAAAAGTTAGACTACAAGTCCAGATGTTTACAACTTGGCCTATCTACTCTAGTTGAACGTCCCAAACGAGGTGACCTCATCCAAAAATAAAAAATTATTAATAACATTGACATAATCGACTGGCACTTTCCCCTCATCACAATTCAACCAAGAGCAAATCACAGAAAAAGACTTCATTGTGAAAAGTACAGCAACCATTTAGCTTGCTTCTACTTTTTTAACAATCGCATTGTCAGTGCATGGAACATGCTACCAGATAAAGTAATCAATTCTCCAACTGTCAACAGTTTTAAAGCAAGCCTCAACAAGCTCTTATGTTACTACAGCTCGCAGCTTTCCTTAGTGAAATTTGCAATATGAGCTTTACAAAAAGTAACTGTAATCTGACAATCTATGATTTGTATTTTGTCAATTATTTTTACTTTTGTTGTAACAAATATATACTACTACTACTACTATATTATATTTCATTATATACTACTACTATATTACACAAAAACTAACTTTAATCTTTTGGGTACATTTTTTTACAAAAAAAATAATGCTTACGGGGATAAAAAATGAATGGGTACACTAAAATGTCCCCGATAATGTTAATGTCGCCGTAAGTGTTCATTTTTTTGTAAAATCTGTCCCCGTAAGTGATAAAATATACGTATATATATATATATATATATATATATATATATATATATATATATATATATATATCACAAAAGATTATCACAATATAGATAATACTCGGATATAAATAAATAAATATCTACAACATCATAAGAATATAAATAAGTAAATATCTACAACATCAAGTTTAGCTTCATTAAGAAGTTAAAGTGTTATAGTTTCATTTTTTCAAATATAAACATTTCTCATATATATCTTTTTTCATTAATAAATAAAATGTTTGAAATGCATGTGAGTTAATAATTTTTATTATAAAATTAATTAAATTATAAGCCTAGCATAACCATAATTAAAAAAAAAAAAAAATTTTATAAAGCTATAAAAAATTTAAAAAAGCATAATAAAAAACATGTTTACAAAACATTTAATTTCAATTTATAGAACAGAACTTAAAAAGTATAAAAAGTTTCAAAATTTTGAAACTTTTTATACTTTTTTTTTTGAGACTACAGATGATGATACCCATTAACTTTTGTATTGAAATGATAGATTTGTACTGAAGTGATAGATTTACCTGCTTTACAATATCATATAAATATTTTAGATTTTAGATTTAGACATTTTCATAAAAAAATTTGTCTATAAATTCATATCATTCCAGAGTTTTCTTAGCATAAAAATTAAAAGTTAAGTCTAAAGCACATAAGGTCTAGCGCTTGGATGAATGAATATAAATTTCTGATATAAAAGTTTATGGTGTCATAATGATTCTATTCTTAATTCAGCAAAAAATAAATGGTTGTTCATAAAATTGTATTTTTTTAGCAATTTTGTCAGTATATTTATATATATATATATATATATATATATATATATATATATATATATATATATATATATATATATATATATATACATACATATATATATATATATATATACATATATATATATATATATATATATATATATATATATATATATATATATATATATATATATATATATATATATATATATATATATATATATATATATATTCAACATCAATAACAATGTTTATTAACAAAAAATTTAATAACAAAAAATTAATAACAAAAAATTTAATAACAAAAAAATTTGCATATTAATCTTTTTACATTTTTTCATTTTGAAACAATAACTTTGTTTTTTAATTGTTAAAAAATATCATACCGCATACATAATATCAGTCCACCCTTCACCTGTCATACACTGAAACACTGTAATACATCCAAGTAAAATGTTATCAAAGCTTGTTATCCCAGAACTTGGACCGGACCAAAACTTTAGACACTCTGTACCATCAGGACATGGTCTTCCACCAGTATCACTTGTACCACATAAAAATTGATCATATGCAATTGCTAAAAACATTGCCCATAATGAAATATGATCACTGTTTAACTTTTAACACAAGTTCAACATAATTTTAAGTAACAAGGTTTTAAGACATTTTGTTACAACTTAATCTAAAGACTGTCTTTTGTAAAAATTTTCTTTTCTTCCCTCTTTTAAAGGAAAAAAAGAAAATAACTATGAAAATGTGTTTAATAAAATCTGTAAAAAAACTTGCTTTTTTTACAGATTGCAAACAACAAATTTACTTACAAAGCTGCAAGAAACCATTATTTATGTTAGTTGCTTGTAGCCTTGTAAGTAAATTTGTTTTTTTAAAAAAAAAAGGTATTTGGATGTTAATTTAAAAAAAAAAAAAAAAAAAAAAAAACGCTACCATTATTAATTAGTGAGTTACTAAAAAATAAAGAAAAGAGTTAAAGAACAAGAAAACAGTTGAAGGAAAATTTTATAAATCATGAAAACATGAAGAGTGTAGAAAGTTCTGTAGAATCAATGTTTAAGGATTAAAACTATGTAAACGAATATTTGATTGAAGAAACAGTTAATAAAATGATGCAGTTTTGCAGAACAAGGATATAAAAAATATTGTGAAACAAGAGATTATAAATTTCATAAGCAGCAACTATAGCAATATGGAAATAGTTATTAAACCATCTACATAAGAAAAGAATAATTATTAAACCATCTACATTTTAAATATTCTTTTTGTTTTTATTTAATATTAGTGTTGAAAAAAAGTCTCAATAATTATGCACTAACCTATTAAGATAAAATGTTAAACAATGTTAATGACAGTATTAGAGATTGTTAATGACATTATTAGAGATTGTTAATGACAGTATTAGAGATTGTTAATGACATTATTAGAGATTGTTTAATGACAGTATCAGAGATTGTTAATGATAGTATCAAAGATTTTTATTAATGACAAATCTCTAACTATGTCATTATTAATGACATAATGAGAGATTTTCCAAAAGTCTCTAGAACTTAACATCTAAAAAAAAAATTAAAAATTTAATAATCTGAGAATAATAAAATGTTCTTGGAATAATATTTTTAACTAAACAAATATCATTACAAGAACAAGAGCTTTGCAAGAGGTTTTGCAAGAGGATTCAGCTGATGAAAGATTACTTGGAAAACCACATATATTTTAAAAAAATAGATTGTAACAATTTAGTGGTAATGATAGTTTTTATGTATAATACTTATAGATTTATTCAGATTATGAGTTATAAGAGAACTTGACTTAGAAAAAAGCTATGCAATCATCTTATTTCTGCTAACTACTCCTAAGTTAAAAAAACGCTAAAAACTCACACTAATAGCACTCAAAGAGACACCTATCATGCACAACATAACACTGTTAATACTTTAATATTTTACAGCTGCTGGTATAATCAGTCTATGAAAGCTACCACAGAGATGGAGAAACCTTATTAGCAACCAGCCTAAAGACTGTTAGACTGAGCTTTAGAGCTGTACCCTCATTAGGAGATTACAGAAAGAGTTATAAAGCCACTACTAAGAAGACACAAGTAAAAATCTATAAGTAGATTCAAACAGATCCAGTATTCATCATTCTAGACATAAAATAATGCAAACTGGTTTACATCTACCTCAAACTAATATATGAAGAAGTGATGTAACTTGGTCAACTCACTTAGTCAACAGAAATTTTCTGCTTTCCACTAAAGTCTTTGTCTAGGAGACAATCTAGACAGTAGCAGTTAACATCTGCTCAAAAATATTTTTATTGAAACACCATCTTCAGCTCAACCAAGAGCCCTAAGGTAAAAAATATTTTATATCAAAGTTAACTTCTCATAGCTTTTGCCTAGAAAAACAAATTCTATCTATCAGGATATGGCAGGTTGCACTGGATTACAGTTACCAGTAGCAGGGTGATCATAATGAGCCTTATCCTGACCTGATCTGAAATTACTACAATATATTATTGAATTTAAATTACTGGAACATTTCATGAAATTTACAAAAATTACATGAAAAATTAGGAAATAAATTATATAAGTTTATTATTATACTTATTTAGAAAAAATAATTATTTAAACTGTTGTTGAATTTTTTATTTGATAATATTGAGCAACACATTTTGTACCAAAAAACATGTATAGCAATTTTTTAAACTTTTTAAATTAAATCATTTTTAACTGATATTAGGACATCTTGACAAAATACTAACTTACTATTGTTGGATGTATAAACACATGTTTGACGAAGCATTCCCATGAGTAGTGAAATTCCAATTATTGCATAAATAACTATAACAAATCCAATAAGAAGTGAAATCTCCATTAATGATCCCATTGACTTTAAAATAGCACTCATGACCAGCTGTAAACCTAATTGTTGGCACAAGTTTCAGTAAAAAATATGCAAAAAGAGTTAAATTCATAAATAATTTATAATATTGTGAAACTGTTTTCAAAAAAATTGTTCATTATTAGCAAGTGTATACATGTTTACGATATTATGACATTAAGATAATGCCTGGAATGTGGATTTAAATATAGATACTGCAATAATAGTTGTGTGCATGCAGCAGTGGAGCAGGATGGCCAAGAGGGAAATTGCCCCAGGCGCAAAGATTTAATTGGGCACCAAAAATATCATTGAATTAGAGGTTTTAAGATTGGTGAAATCTGAACTATCAAATTATCTTTACCTTTTCTGTTGAGAAAAAGTAAAAGAATATATTGGTATTATTGTTTTTTTAAGAAATAATAGAGAATTTTATGTCATATATTTAAAAATATTATACCTATATGTATATATATATATAAATAAATGCTGTTTGAAAGAATCTGCAACTGATTTTTTTGTAATTAAAGATTTATTGTGCAATTTATTTTATTATAAAATGAATGGCACATACTGTATCTTAAAAAATTTTTATAAAAGTATTGTAAAAGTTATTTTTAAAGATATTTATACAAATAATACAATTATATAAAATGATGATTTAATATAGAATAAAAATTGTTAGATTTAATTTCAATTGTAAGTTCAATTGTAGCAGTCAGATTTTACTTCCACTGTACAGGGCTTAATTTAATTTTTTATAAGGTCCTAGACAAAATGTCTGACCAAAAGTTATTTTGTAAACTTTTATAAACCGGTAATGCAATTCAATGTAAACTAACAAGGTTTTCAAGAGAAAAAAACTCAATAAAACTTCAAGTCTATCTAAAAAAATGCTCAGTATTGAATTTAAACTATTTCATTTAAAATACAAAGATCTACGATGATAAAAATTCTGAATATTAAAAAAAAAAACTACAACTTCACTAGCCTAAAATAAAATAAACTGGGAAAACATAGCATATATTTCGATAATATATTGGATAATTCCAGATACGTCATAAGCTAGTCTAAAAAAACCCATCTGCAGTACTTTTTTACTCTTTTTCCTGTGTTCCTTTTAACTAAACTTTTAACTATGAATATATGTAAATATTGGTGAAAATTATTTGTTTAAATTTTTGATCATATATTCATATTTGTTTTGTTAAAAGGAACACAGGAAAAAGATAGTTCTTTAAATTCCGAGAATAAAAAAGTACTGCAGATGGGTTTTTTTATTTCAAAAATTTTATTTCAAAAATTTGATAGGACATTGTCCGATCAAATTTTTGAAATAAAATTTAAACAAATAATTTTCATTACCGGTTTATAAAAGTTATGTAAATTTTTTTACTTAAAAAAATATATGGTAAGTGTCAATTTTGCACATAAGCTCCACTTTTAGCGCCAAAAAGGTATATATATGGCATTCATGTAACTACTTTTATCAATAATAAAAACAGCAAGAAAACAAGTTTGTTATAGTAATATAGTATAATAATGTCTTTAATATATTAAATATTAAGATAAACATATTATTTTTAAACTTGATATAAAAAATTTAAACTTTGCCTTTACTTATTTAAATCAAACGCAATATAATATTTACGGGCTATTATTTAATTTAAAAATTCCACGCACTGCATGTCATTAAAATTTTATCAATTCAACGAAGAAAATTTTATGAGTTCTACAGGTTATTATTTATCTACTTTTCAAAAAGGCACTCCTTCTTTGGCAGACAAGTTTTATAAAGTTTTATATATATATATATATATATATATATATATATATATATATATATATATATATATATATATATATATATATATATATATATATATATATATACATATATATATATATATATATATATATATATATATATATATATATATATATATGCATATATATATGTATATATATATATATATATATATTTATATATATATATATATATATATATATATATATATATATATATATATATATATATATATATATATATTATTTTATCAAAATATTTTGATGTCAATTTCAAATCAACGAATAAAATTTTATTTTAAAGAATTAAAAATCTTGCCGGACAAAATGTACAATGACTTTGTAAATTGATCGGACAATCTGAGGTTTTAGCCGGACAATGTCTGATGTCCGACTGTTAAATTTAGCCTTGACTGTATGTTCGTTTTGTATTAATTGCTTGAACACACTCATTAATTTTTATTAAATAATAAATAAATTAAGATGTCCTCAATAAAGGCAATAGGCATTGCAATAGATAATGGAACATTTAGGCATTGCAATTCCAATGACTAACATCCTACCATCATAGACACATATCATATCACCAATTCCCAATAGGTGATATGATAGTGGCTGTTTAAGTTATTACAATACAAAACAAAATGATTTGCAAAAATTAATAAAATATAATTTATATAGCAAAGTGTAAAGTAATACACTTATAATATAAAACGTAGTATTTTTCAAAATAATAAACAGAGTAAGAGAAAATACTCCTGGTATAAGTAAATACTTAAATGGTTAATAATCATTATTATTTTATAAAGCTACGTTAACATTTTTTTAAATATAATTTTTCATACTAAACTAAAACAATAATGGTGTAATATACTGTTTTTGGCAGTTTTCTTAGTAATGTGATAAGAAAAATGCTTAAAAAAAGTAGCAGCAAGGCTAAAAACATCGAACAATGAAAGATAACACAACCAGGAAGAGGCTATTTTATAAGTTAGTAAACAGTTAGGTGACAAAGTAATCAATCTACATGTATTTAATGATGTGGGATATTGGTTGTTAATTTTAGATAAACTTTTAAAATAGGGACTGATTAAAAAAGGTCCTTCTAAAATCTAAAATAGGGAAGGGCCATTTGTAAAAGATGACAATAATTGATTCTTATCTTGTGACTGGTTTTACAAAACATTACCAAGCAATGTAAAGGTAGGCAGATTATGGCTACTATTTTCACCCTTTAAAAATGCCTTATATTGCTTTCCTTTTTGACTTTTTCAGGATAATTGTAGTGCTTTTGAAACCATGGAAACCATGGAAGGATTTTTCAATTGGAAAAAGATGAATCCTAAGAATAAGAATATTCAACGTCAGATTAAATCTGTTATCCTTTGAATAGATTTAGAAATAAGATAACTTCATGAATCGAGGATTAATTCTGCTTCATTGATGGAACAAAACAAGCCGTACAAAAAATATAAGGTCATTCTAAAACAAATTGTTCTTAGCAAAACAATATTTGCCTTATAGAGGCTATTGAGAAAAAAATCTATTGGTAGCTTAGGAAATACCAACAATTTTCTAGAAAATTTGCTTTTGCTAGTCATGAATGACACAGTGGTAGGTAATATTGCTTAGGCTTGTTACATATTGCTAATGTGAAAAAAGAATTTATTACTAAGCAACCCATAGTATTATATCTCTCTCCTACGATACAGAATGAGTTCATAACTTTGCTTGGTGATCATGTTAAAATGACTATACTGGATGACATTACGAAAGTCTTTTTAGCCTTAACTCATAGATAAAAATGTTTGAAAAATGAAAAAAGAGTTTCATTGATGAAGTTAGTTTCAATGATGAGGCTGCAAGCAGAAATTGTGAACCGCCATCTTAAGTTGCAAGAACTTGAGAAAATATTTTTTTTATTAAAAACTGCAGTATGGCTGAGTGGGAAAAATAATGAATTCATCAAACGCTAGATTGAGCATTTGTGCAAAACTTACAAAAGAAATAAAAAGGAAAAATGTGTTCACTTAATGATTTCAGCGGTGCCCTACAACTTAAATGTGTTGTGGTGTTTGTCTTATGATAGCATAGTATATTCATACGATAAATTGTTTGGTAGATATCTCAATATCTGAAAGTAAATTCAAGAGAAATTTAATTTCAGTATCTTATAAGATTGTATTTTCTTTTGTTTACACCAAGCCTTCCCAATAGACACATGCGGTTATTTGTCTCATTTTCACAACTTCACAACTGTTTGCAAGTTTTATTATATTAGGCGTTTCAATACTTTGTGGAAAAAACTAAGTTACAAAAACAAAGCAACAAAACTAACAAAATAGGAAACTTAAATAGAAAAAAATAAAAATAAATTAATAATTTAAATAATTTGTGCACTCTTTTTATTTTCATTTCTTTAGGATGGTTATTATTCTAAGCAATTGGATAAGACAAAGCAAAAAAAAAAAAAAAACAGTTTCAAGTCAACATTAAAAAAAATGATTTGTTTTTAAAGAGGAAAGCGAAAATATAAGTTGCTATCTGTTTGTAAAATATATTTGAATAATTTTTGTTACAATTATATATTGTCCCTATATGAATATGTCTATGTAACGCATGTGTATATGTTTATATATACTCATATGTTGGTTTGTCATATATGCATTTATAAGTATCATAGGCTTTACTTTCTACATCACATTTTAATTATATATCACCATGGTCGGTTGAAATTTGGACAACCTTAAATTGAGTTTTCTCAAAAAACGGCTGAATCAATTGTTACAATTTTTTTTATAATGATGCTAACATAGTTTTATTGTGTGTGAGTGTAGTTTTGTTTACTCCTCATTAGTTTTTGCAATGTTGAGTTAAGAGTCTGAAAATCGATAAAAAAAATTTGAAATTATGAATAGAAAATCCATCGTTCTCATATTCCATGATTTTAAAAGCATGTAAAGTTCAGGAATAAACTGTTGAAATTATTATAAAATGTTATAAGGAAAAAAAAACTGTAAAAAAGGATACAAAAAGTGGTGAAAAATCAAGATTTATTTCCAAAAAAAAAAGACAAAATCAATAGTTGACTCAATTCATCAAAATCCGACTTGAACACAAAATTTAACTACGAAGTTTAAATGCAAAAAAGCTTTTGTTCAACGAGTATTCAAAAAAGAAAATCTGAAAGCATATTTCAAGACAAAAATACCAAAAAGGTCACTTGATGGAGAAATCAAAGCAATTAGATGAGCTAAAAATTTGCTTGAATTAATTACAAAAAAAAAATTATGCATTTTAAAAGACAATATAGCTTACAGTAAAAAAGATCATTTGGTGCTTCCATGTAATCAATAATATTATCAGTCAAAATGTTATAAAGCTTCTGACAAATTCAAGTACATTAGAGTAAGAAAATGGCTATATGTGTTCCACTAAAATAACTGGTTATTGAGTCTGGTTGTTATGGTTATCGAGTCTGGTTGCAAATAATAATTGTTAATGTAACAAGTATATGTATTGCAAAAAAAAAAATCTTTTGAAATAATTAATTCAATAACAACCACCCTAAAAAAAGGAAAATAAAAACAGTACACAAATTATTTAAATTATTGATTTTTTTAGGAGCTTTATAGTATCCTTATAATGATTTGCAACCTATCATCTCTTCCCATGTGACTTGTAAAAAAGTAGGGGCAAAAAAAAAGTATATTATTTTAGTTTTAGTATTAAAATAAATATAGTATTAAAAACTTTCTGTTACTTGCCTGCTAAAAATAAACAATACTTTTTTTTACTAAAATCTAACATTTTAAACATTGAATTAACCTTATACCATATAGTAATATGTAATTCTTTAAAAGAGTTTATGGATTAAATTTAACTATTTAAAATTTTTGCAGGATATTTTTTTTAAATAAATTTAAAAAATCTTAATAAAATAACTTTATTTATTTTTAGTTGTGTAATTAGTTGCTTTTTACTTATTTATTTTTAAATTTTATTATATCATTATTTGATTTAAGTTATTTCATTGACTGCTTTTCATTTATTTTATATGCTGTAACAGATACTAAGTGAAAAAGATAAAATACTTTTTATTTGAGGTGAATTTTTTAATGTAAACAAGGACTAATTCTTTAAGAGTTGTAAGTCTGTATCAAAAAAGTCTTGATTAAATCATCTCAAAAAAGTCTTGATTAAATCATCTCAAAAAATTCAATTAAACATCAAAAATGATGAGGGGCAAGAATAAACTTTTATTATAGCAATAAAAAGTGCACTAGCAATTACAATAAAAAAATATCACAAAATTGAATATTTTATGATTATGGATTTATTTCTTAAGCCATTTTATTCCTGATGCACTGCTGATACAAAAGTCTGACACAGTCATACTTGTTTACAAAAATATTATTTAAGGCAAATAAAGTTTTATTTCCTAATAATATTAATACAGATAAAAAGACACATGCAAATTTTTATTATAAAATTCTGTAACACCCACATGCAAATGGAGAGAGTTATAGGTCATCTTGAGCTCAAAAAACAAAGAACTAATAAAGTAATGCAAAGAACAAAGAATTGGCAAAGTTAGACAAAAAAAAATTGACAAAGATTAAAAAAAAAAAAAAAAAGAGAGAGTACTCAAGTGTCAAACAATTTTTGTTGTTGATAGTTTAATAAAAAAATAAGTTAACTTTTGCTTTAAAAAATATCAGAGCCATCATTTATAAACATTAAAAATAATTTTCTCAGAAATGTATTATAAAAAATGTTACAGTTAGCATGTAAATATTCTGACAATTAGAGAAAGATAGTAAGTTTAAAAAAAAAGGCAGTACTAGAAAACTTGTAAAAACATTTTACTGATGTAAAATGTTTTCAGCTGAAATTCAAAAGTTAATTGAAAAAGCTATTATTTTTAATAATAACTCTTTCAATTTCTTCACTCCTAAACTATCCAAAATAATTTGTTTAAATTTAATCTAAAGGATACACAAAACAATGTTGTTGAAAATGATCATAAATCTAACAATTAATATAATACAACCTACTTCAGAACTGATTATTATATATATATATATATATATATATATATATATATATATATATATATATATATATATATATATATATATATATATATATACATATATATATATATATATATATATATATATATATATATATATATATATATATATATATATATATATATATATATATATATATATATATATATATATATATACTTACTTGGTACTCCAGAAACAAGTTTAAGAGGTCTTAAAACTTTTGCAGCTTTTATAACTTTAGTTGGCCCACCTTGAAGACCTGCATATGGCAGAATACTAAAAAAGTATTTAAAAAATTACTTAGACAAAAATACTCTCCTAGAATAAAAAACTATATTTATCACTAATAACAAAAATAAATCATGATAAAAACTATATTAAAAACTATATTAAAAACAATCGTTGTAAAACTTTTGTAGGTAAAATTTTTTAATTTTTTCAGTCAATGAAGTCCAATAAAAATAAGAGAGGAATTAATGGCGTTGAATAGTGTTTTTCAACTAACACTTTAAACAATAATTTAATAGTAAATTAAATCATTGAATTTAAATTTTACTATTAATTAAAATTAATTAATATGCCATATTAATAATGTTTAAAAAAATTATGTATTCAAGTATAAAAATATTTAACCATATATACTCAATATTCTAACTAAATTTTTTTAATAAATCAGGTACATTTTTAAATACATTTTAACTTGCCTCATTTTCTCTCATTTACCATACTCAATATGTTAACTAAATATGCTTTTTTAAAAAATCTTAAAAAAGGTGTTATAAAATCTAAATAAACAGCAAAAAAACTATTTGATAATATTGCACTTGTATAGTATTGCTGTGTAAAAAAATGTAAATGAGATAAAAGGAGACCAATTTATTGTTTAAAAACCAATGAAAATAACTTTGGTGAACACTTGAAGCAAATAAAAATAGATGAGTTTACTGTTTACAGAAAAATTTAAACGACTTGATAATTGTTCCCAGATAAATATTATGAAAGACTCTTTTCATTGTTAGTTCAAATTATTTATGGTTCAACTTTACTCTTTCAAATTTTAAAACTTTTCTATTAACCAACAATCTTTCTTATAAAATTTATAAAATAACTTACCCTGTAACAATAACAACAAAATCAAGAATATTCCAGGGGGTTCGCATATAAGAATTTCGATGCAAAATAAAACCTTGAGATACAATCTTTAAAAATGCTTCAACCATAAATATAGCAAGCAAGTAAACATCAAGTGCCTCCTGAAAATGAAGACATAAGGATAAGCAATAACAGATTATAAAAATACTATATAACTGATATGTATTATATTATTACTCGAGATATCTGGTTAAAGACATTCTATGTGATTATTACTTTTTATAATAGGGTTGAATAATAGAGTTTTATAATAGAGGCAAAACCCAAAAGTTTTTATTTGATTTATATAGGACTATTTTTCAGTAAAAAAAGTCAACAAATTTATACTTATTAATGCATGGCAAGTAGAATGTTTTGATCGAAAACCAAATTGAAAATCATTTAAACAATTAAATGAGTTTAGAAAAGAGTACACTCTAGAATACATAAGTTTCTCAAGCAGCTTACTAATGTTCGATAAAAGAGAAATAGGTCTGTAGTTAGTGCATGAAAGTTTAGAGCCATTTTTAAATATTGGAATAACGCAAGATAATTTCAAAATATCAAGAAATTTTCTATTTATAAATGAGGTATTAAATAGTTTAGAAAGAATATTTGAAAAATCGTAGTTAAAATCTATAAGAATATTTGTGGAAATGCTGTTTGGATCTAATGATGTTTTTGGATTCAATTTAGATATAAGAGATGAAATATTTGTTGGAGATAATAATAAAAAAACACTGTAGAATAAATAACATGCTTCAATTTTTGCAAAAATTTGGAAATATTTTCCTTATCACAATTGTATATTTTTAAAAACTTTGTTGCAATAATGTAAACAAGTTACTATTTAATTTGTTTTATTATTATTATTGTTCTGTTTTTTATCAATACAACATGTATATCATCAATTTTTTATAATCTCTACACAAAAATGAGCCCTTTATATAAATCCTATTTCCTTTATATATTGTATAAGAAAATGATGTAACAACTAATTCATTTTATTTTTTAAAAAAGTTACTTTATGAATCAGATGGGCATAGAAGAAAACAGGTTTTAATTTTATTTATAACTTTTTTCACCAAAAAAAACCTGAAAAAACTTTACATTTACTCCCTCAGAAGACATTCCCAAAATAAATATATGGCTCCAGAGCAGCTTCAAAGTAGCTACAGAGTGACTCCTGGTAAAATAATTCAAAAAAATGAAGTATTATCTAAAAAGTCAGGTTTGTCTGAGAAATGCAGATTGTTTGATATAAAATTAAGAGCAGAAAATTGCCTCTATACACTTTTTTGTGAGATATATAGAGTTATTTAAAAAATGTTGTCATTTTTGGTGTGAATTTGACAAACTTATAATGTTTGCATTTTCATATATTTAGGTTTAATGGTCTTATATGCTGTTAATCTTAGATCAAAACAAAGTGTTAGAAAAATTTACAAGCATCTCAAAATGGCTGAAAATTGGACTTTTTAGGCGAATGGACATTCTGCTTTTAGATATATTTGGGTTCTAAACTGAAACAAGCTGCCTATATATTGCAGACAGTAGCAAATCAGAAAACAGTTGCAGACAGTAGTAGCTAATCAAAAAACTAATCTATAAAGACCTGTGGATGAAAAGAAAAATACTACAGTTAACTCACATTTAGCAATTTTGGAATTTTTTCCAAAGTTGAGGAGGTTATAATTTTTCTCTAATATAGTACAAGTTAATAAAAACCACTTTTTTAAAGATACATATTGCACATAATAATATGTAAAAATCAGGCAGATTAGAGATGGTGTCCTGCTAAGTTTTTTTTAAATTGTTTAAAATATGATTTGACCCTATTAACTATTAGGCTTTTAAAGTAAGTCTTATTAAAAAGCTTATTTACAAACATTATCTTATAATAAAAGTGCTATGGAGTAAAAGTAAAGCAAATTATAAAAAAATTGTTTTAAAAGATAAGTTACATTAACATAATAATATTTTCAAAGTTAGATTTCATTTAAATAAAAAAGATTGTCTCACTTTTGATTTGTAATCTTGTTTCAATTTAAAAACTCCTATCAGTTTTAAATCAATAGTTGTTACTAGTAAATAAATATCAAGTATATATAAATTAAATTATTATGCATCATAACAAATGTCATCATTAACTCATTATATTTTTATTTTAAGAAAATATACTCTTTTTCAGAACTTCTTCACTGCATCATTCATGCTAGTTTCAGTTATGTAACTCTGTAACCATTATAATCTCTTTGTTTAACAATTTAAAAAATTTTCTGGGATCTTTATGGGATCAGACATGTATATAAAACCACAAAACTTTTAAATACCATTGGATTCTTTTACCCATTTCTCCAAAAACTAATATTGCTCATAAATAAACATTAAAAGTTCTTAGTTGCTGGTTTGATTTTAGTTTTGGTTCTGCTAACAGTGGCAAAATGTAAACAAAATTAGGAGACAGTACTATAAACCAAATTGCTTTGATCATCATAAAAAGTTATAATTTAAAAATTACGTTTGTTGAAAATTTTTGACAGCGAACAATGGCAGCTATTATATCATCTAATGTCAGTGTTCATAAATATGTAGCAGTCATTTGTAATATAGTAAATAATGTTATATTTGTAATATAACATTATTTACAATTTTTACAGAAGATTTACTGCTAGAACTCGATACACACATGTTCATTTTTTTTTTTTTTTTTGCAATGCTTCATTCAAATTTTAGTTTATGCAAATTGGATACATTTTCTTCAGCTGTAATTTTTGGTGATTGATATGTTTTCCTCTGAAGAGAATAAGTTTCGTACTATGTCTTATTTAATTTCTTTTGCCTTTTTTTTTTTTCGCATTAATTTAAGTATTATTTAATCAGTGATAGGATTGCAGTTTTATCACTGTGTATCACTTCTGTACAATACAAAAAACTTTAGTACGATACAGAAAACAGCACCTACGATATATAGTTAGAAAGTTTAATAAAAACCATGCAGGCAAATACACCAAAAAAATTAATCTATAAACAAAAAGTAGTTTTAGAGTAGCAATCATCATCTATAATTATGATATAATTTCTTTTTTAGCTGTATACTAACGGAACGAAAACAAAATGTTTGGGGCAGGTATTGCTATAATAATAGGGCTCTTTTGTTCCCAAGTTCAGATCATTGAAATTTTTAGTACGCAGCTATTAGGGAAGGGGGGTTTTCCAAAAGCGTACGAACGTGTACAAGGGGAGGGGATGTTAAAGACAGTGAGTACGTACGCGGTTTGACTATCTCTCCTAAACTTGATTTTATTTTATTAATTTTTTTAAAACATAGGGAAGGGGGGTTTTCCAAAAGCGTACGAACGTGTACAAGGGGGAGGGGATGTTAAAGACAGTGAGTACGTACGCGGTTTGACTATCTCTCCTAAACTTGATTTTATTTTATTAATTTTTTTAAAACATTGAATTTCAGTTAATTTTTAGTTAATTTTTAAAAAATTAGTTTTTTTTTTTTTTTCTGACTAGAGACAGTTTTTTTTTAATTTCTTTATAAATAATGAGGAGAGGAAAAAAAATCGAGCGGCGTTCCAAATAATATTTTTTATTTTTCGCTACGTACTTTGATTGGTGGCGAGATGAGAAGCAAAAAGCAGTCAAATAAAAGCAAACTTTTTTTGAATTTTTTTTTTTTTTTTTTTGAGTAACTGTACGCAAACTGGTTTTTATCATTTTTCGTAAAATGTTAAAATATGTTGTAACATTTTAAGATTTAAATAAGTATACATTAAGTAACATTTTTAATTAATTACTAAGAAATGTCAAATAAACTAAATCTTTTTTTTTTTTCGTTTTTAATGTTTTGAAATATCTATAGCGTTTAGGAAGGGAGAGCCTTTGAAAGCGTACAGGTTTGTAAAAGGAGGGAGGGGGTCCTAAATCAGTGGTTTTACTGCGTACGTATTTTATGGATGCCCCCTAAGTATAAGCAGATAAATGTTTGGAGTTTGCTTCATATAGCAACTAAAAAGGTACCGTCATTTTCTTACATTTAATTAATGATACTTATAAAGATTCAAATAGAGTTAATAGGATTAAGTTTAATTAGTTGGTAGGATGAACTTTATTTGTTAATTTAAAATAATATTTGAGTAAAATACATTGTAACTACTTTTGAACTTAAAACAGTCCTTTGCTTTACAGGATCTTAAAGATATCTTCTTTTTTGTTTTTTATTTATATAAACGATCTTCCAAATGCCTCTAATATCTTTAAAACTATAATATTTGCCGATGATACGAACTTATTTTACTCATCAAAAACAATCGAAGACCTCTTTGAAAAAACAAATGCTGAACTAAAAAAAATTATTATATGGTTTAAATTAAATAAACTGTCACTCAATACAGAAAAAACTAAGTATATATTATTCCACTTTAATTAACAAATTAAAAAAATACCCCTGAACCTACCAACAATTAATATAGAAAATATAACCAGAGCTCTGATTACAAAGTTTTTAGGAGTTCTAATCGATGAACACATTTCCTGGAATCCCCATATAAACTACATTAACACAAAAATATCAAAGAAATAGGTTTACTTTACAAGGCAAGACCATTTTTGTCACAAAAAAGTCTAAAACTTGTTACTTTTCATTCATACATAGCTATCTTATGTATATGCCAATATAGTATGGGACAGTACTCATAAGTCTAAATTAGAACCACTTTACTTACGTCAAACACACGCTTCAAGACTAGTATACAACAAAAACAAATTTCTTCATGCTCAACCCTTACTAGAACAAATGAACGCAATAAATATATTTCAAATAAATATTTATCAAAATATACTTTTCATGTTTAAATATAAAGTGTCTGGTTTCTGAACATTTTGTAGCACACTTTTTTAAAGACAATATAAGTAGAAACCATACAAGAGCAACAGGCAATTAGTTTCCACGACAAAACCAAACGAATTTTAAGGGTAACTTTACATAATTTCGCCCATCACTCAATATTGTCCACCATCTTTAATTGCTTATATGTCAGTTAACTCACACGCTGCCCCATCAAAAAGACGTTCTTTTAAAGCAGCAAACCAGCCTTATCAACATCAAAACAAC